TACACAAAAAAAGTTAAGAAAATGACTCTTTTCCAGTACTTAATTGTTTTGAACTATTCATATGAGATAAAATAAATGGAGCTGTGCTTTCAATTCTTTGTTCTATTTGTATTTTCTCTAGTCTATATTTGATTAGAAGATAATGGAAAGAAAAAGAAGACAAAATATAATTGATAAAAGAGTTTCATTTGCTTATCAGGTTGAAGGGAAATTTAGTGAAAAAGACTTTTTTTTTGTTCTAAGTTTTGTTTGATGAAGCTACATATAGTAAATTGAAGAATGAAAACTGTGCAATGCAATGCACACATAGGGTTAAGTAGAGAAACATAAAGAGAATTTTGCATATATAATTATTTTTTGGGTAAACTCAATTTACTTATGAATTAAATTTGACATGTGATCAAAAAATTCATTTGATCCGTATGAATTTCGAGATAGTATTTGAATTAAAAAAATAATTAGAGTAAAGTTAATGACCATCCAAAGCTTGATTTCAACAAATATGTAATCGAATTGAATGTTTTGATGAGATGAATCTATTAACACCACAAATGATTCAATCTAAGTTCAAATGAATCCAAATCAAATCCTTGAAGCATATCTAAAAACTTCTTAATATTAATTGACTGATCAAATGCTTTTCAAATTATGTCTTTATAGTTAAATCAAGCTGCTTGATAAGACAAATCCAATGAGTCCAAGATCATTTAGTACTTACATCATTAATGCATTTTAATACTGAGTAAATAAGCTATAATCAAGGAGATGAATATAAATTATTTTATAGAGCGTGTTTTGACTCTGACAAAACTTACTAAAATAAAGCTAGAAAAAAAGTTATAAATAGGGCTCTATTTGTAGACGAAGGGAGTTTTGAGAGCTAAGTATAAGCTAAAGAACTTTGTTGCATTTTTTATGAACTACCATCGATGACCACTGTTATGATTATATTGAGGAAGAAGAAGTCTTCTTTGGCTTCTTAAGAAAGAGAGGGAAATAGGAGCTTTATTTATTCATCATGGAGCTCCAATACATCAACCCATAACCTCTATTTATAGGGATTTGCAAGGTGAGATGTCTTGCACCTGTCATTGTTCTAATAGGACACACTTGTCGATAGACTGGCTGAATTTGAATTTTAGTAAAATACAAAATAAAAAATAAGAAGAACGTAGAGGAAACACGTACAAGAGAGAAAAAAGATTATATTGATCGTAGATGGAAGAAAATACACAAGATACAATTGATTCTCAATTGGAGAGGAGGATCTAGTTCTCCCAATCTCTAGCTGGCGACTAAAGCCCAAACAAAAACCTAAGAACTCTCCAAAATTTAGCAAAAATACCCCCACCACTAGGAAAAGAAACTACTTAACACATACAATAAGAAATCCAATACCCAAAACAGCAACCCCCCACGCGAAAAAAAAAAAAAAAAAAAAAAAACAAAACAAAAAACACTTAACTGATTGCTGGGCCGATATGCAAAGACTGAGGAGGCGGACATTCCACCTAAAACGGGCAGAAATCCCGCCTCAAACAAGCAAAATTGTTCGGCCTTATGAAAGTTTGTCCAGGTTGATCGGTTGGACCGATCTAACATGTTCCTCCCATTCATGCTTGTGTCTTGCGCATTTCCTGCTCTTGCGCACTTACAACCCATGCACTTTTTCCTGTGTGGCACGCCCGCACTCAAGCACTAAGCACCCTCCAGCTCGTATGTATTCGATCCCCGGACACCCATGCACGCTCCAACCTGCGACTTCGCACGAGCCACCCATCTGATCCTAAGTCCAGTGCCGGCTTCTTTCACACTCCTACGTACGACTACCTCCAGCATAATCCACTCAGAGGTTCTTGATCCAGCTTTTATTTTGTTGCTTTGACACACCAAACCCGATTGACACTACTCAACAATATGCCTGTATTCCAGCCTGGAGACTACGCCTCTAAAGATCTAAATAGATCATTAGCAACCAATCTTGATGCTAAATTCGTGCCCGCACAGCACCAACCTACTTCTATATACAAGATCTCACTGAAAATCATCAATAATTTCTTCAAGCAACTATCTCTAGCCCTTCCTCCCATTTCCAGCCTTTATAAAAGACCAGTAATAACAGCTACCTACTGTACTTCATCCATTCAGCCTGACTTTCGACTGCCCGAACCAGAAGCCCAGCTCATATGGATGTTGCCCGTGCCACCAGTCACGATCGTGCCTTACGCACTCCGCTCAAAGATCCAACGCGTTCTCCGCGACCCCGCCCTTATCCTTGCACGCATTCGACCCGTCAAATCTGTCTTGCGAAACCACACAATTGCATTTCGTTCTGCTTTATTCGAACAAACCCGTGACTGAAGTCGTGCTCCCCTCCTACGCGGCCGCATCGCGAGCAATAAAGTAAATTTTTTAGCATATAACAACTTTTCAAATAAGCAATAAAGTAAAGATTATGAGATAAATACTTTTCTACTTCCCCTTAATTCCTCCTAGGAAAACATAGCCATAATTAAGTTCTTTTAGACAAAAAAAAAAACAAATTTTTTTAGTAATTCCACATATTGCCTTAGAAACTTGTGGGCAATTTATTCTCTCAATCACTCAATGATGATTGTCTTGCGAAACCACACAATTGCATTTCGTTCTGCTTTATTCGAACAAACCCGTGACTGAAGTCGTGCTCCCCTCCTACGCGGCCGCATCGCGAGCAATAAAGTAAATTTTTTAGCATATAACAACTTTTCAAATAAGCAATAAAGTAAAGATTATGAGATAAATACTTTTCTACTTCCCCTTAATTTCTCCTAGGAAAACATAGCCATAATTAAGTTCTTTTAGACAAAAAAAAAAAACAAATTTTTTTAGTAATTCCACATATTGCCTTAGAAACTTGTGGGAAATGTATTCTCTCAATCACTCAATGATGATTGCTTATAAGTCATAATAAATACTTTGAGGACCAAAACATGTATGAGTAATCCTCTTATATTTTTCCTTCATTAATGATCAAGAGGAGTCGAATAGAGTTAGGGGTTGTTTGGTTGGAGTAAAAGTGAATGCAAAGCATAGTGAATGTTTTGCTTTTCCACTTTTTGGTATTTAGTTGTTCATGGAGTATAGTGAAGTATATTTTTGATGTATTCGTAACTCCCCGCTCTAATTCATTTTCCGTGTAAAGCAAACTCACTCAAAATTGAGCAAAAAATGAATTCAACGGGCGAAAGAGCAGCATGCATAACACAATTTTGTTTCTTTCTCATCTGGTGAGAACCATCATTAGGGTAGCCAAGACTGGAAACCTTCACCTTTGCTGCCTCCGTGAAATCATGCCACCCCACCCTTAGATTTTCCTCGCACGAACATCTAGCCAGTATCCCTTTCTATTCGTGTCACCCAAGTTTCTTCGCCCATTTTCACGGAAACATCATGGTTTCTCCTCCATTCATAAACTCATTGTTGTTCTTCATGTGAGGTAAAGTTTTGCTCGAGTCTCTTCATTAAATCCTTCTTGTTGTTCGACTTCACACCTTCGATGATGCTTCCTTCATGTCAGATCAAAAGTCATGAAAGTAAGGCTGCATCGCGTAGCCAGTGGTTTGGTTGGGCTGGCCTAATTGAAGCGGCGGGTCTGGTGCAGCTTAGTTGCAAGCAAGAGCTACAAATGGGATAGGGGCAGAAGGAACACTTATATGACTATATGTCATCCAAACAACTGTATGATTAGAGCATTTATAAGGTGGAATTGACTCGGTTTTAGGAGGCAAATTTTGTTGGTATGGATGTCCAAGAAGCTATAAATGTCGCAAATGGGGCCAAATTTGACAAGAGATGCTGAGATGTTGCTTCATGGCCTGGAGGATGACACGTACGGAATGGCCCAGACGTGCTCGATTGCGGTCAGTGGGATCGACAATCGTGCGGAGGCCTCACAAATTGTTGCAGCTCATTCCTTCGAGGTATGCGTGCCTTTCCGCTTCTAAGTAACGCAATGTTTGTGATAGGGTTGATTTGGCCACTCCATGCGACCTGGAGCCACAGGATGGCTGAACCATATTTTGCGAGAACCTCAAGCTAGAAGGTGTGTATGAATACACTGATTTTACTTTGCTCTGCATACACCTAACCAAACAGAATATGTATTTACTTTACATACAACTAAACAACCTCAAAGTATTTACTTTACACTGCATTCACTTTAAAACCAACCAAATAACCTCTTAAGCGTAATGGGATGTGCATTTAACACCTCTTTTGTCTAAGGCTTCGTTTGGATAGTTTCATTACTATTTTCTAAATCAACAATAAATTTTTTATTTTAAAAAAATAATAAAAAATTGTTTTAAAAAATAATAAGAAAGATATCCAAAAAAGCCTAAGGCTTTTTCAAGGCTTCATTTGGAACTATTTTTTTACTATTTCTTACAATAAATTTTTAATTAAAATTTTATTTAAAACATTAAAAAAATAATGATAAAAAATTGTCCCAAATTAAACCTAAATAAGGTAGAAAATAGCCACAATCTCAAGAAGAATGGCCTGCGAATTTTACAGAGGAAAAAAATTAAGTAATTAAACATGTTAAGATGGGGTTTAATGCCCTTGAAAGTTCTCACAAATTGGCGCTTACATATAATATATGCAAATCAATAAAAATTCAAGCTAATTCTGGCTTAACCCATTTGGATCGCTAATTAGTTTGAAAATTTTCGTTCAAATACATACTGAATGTTTCATATCTAAAAAATATTGTTATTTTTCCTCAAAATTATGATCTTATCGTTCTCTATCCAATTATAATCAAACTCCAAATTAGAAAAAAAAAAAAGTATTGTTGCGTCGTTCGACTATAAGCTTGCTGAAATCGGAGTTCGGATGCTCCCGAAATTAAATTTTAAAGTTTCCAACTAGCTTTTTCTCTCGAGATTCGCGTCCGATCAAGATAATTTTTACATGGCGTATCAAGTATCATCTGATAATCACAGAAATATGAAATTGCGTTTCCATTGAGAAATTGTTCTTTCCATTAACGAATAATCAATATTTATACATCGCAGTCATCACTGTAAATGAACATCAAAATTCCCACCTTTGATCGAGGAAAACATATTAAGAAAAAAAAAAACAAGAAAAAGACATTAGATATAGAGAGAAGAAGGAGACGAAAGTCTCGAAGCAATTATAAGGCCGTTGAAGGAAGCGAGAGAGGAAGAGCAATTGATTAATGGGAGACGAAAGTCTCGAAGCAATTAAGCCCGTCAAACTCCGGGGCGAAGCAGGCCGCCTTTCCCTTTTTCTGCTCCTCTCGCTGCTTCCCACCGGTTCTCTGCTCTCCTTCCTTAACAGAACACTCAGAGCTGTTCTTCTTGCTCGACAATCGCAAATTCCCCCAGAATCCGGCGATCTCCGCCGGCGACGCGCTGAGGATCGACATCGCGAGCAGCTTCTCCATCGGTCGAAATTAAGCTGTTTCTGAAAACAAATTGTAGAAATCCAAGTTTTCTTCTCTGTGATGATAAATTCTGGATTGTGCAATTTTTATCTTGATTTTCTTCTCACTTTATAGGGAGAAAAGGTAGCGGAGGAGGGACGGAGGAAAGTGGTGGGATCCGCCTTTCGGATGAGGACGGCCGATATTGTCGATACGATATCACGCGTGGTTGGCACTTGGAACTAAGTCCGGTGGAGTTGACGAGCAGCTTCGGTCTTCTGGAAACGTTGACGGCTTTTTATTGGGAACTTTCGTATTACGTCTGGGCGGTGAGCGGGAGGCCACCAGGCGGCGGGATTTCTATATTTTATTTATTTTATAATTTGCGTTGCGTGCTTCAGTGGTACTCTTTTTTGGGGAGAAATTTGGGCAGAGCCCATTTCATTAAAGAAAAGATAATTATAAACGGTTGGGAAATTATAGTAAGGAGGTGAATCAAAATTCATCCTAAGAAAAACTCCTAAAGAATCAAAATAGAAAGAACAAAAAAAGAAAAAGTTGGACCTGGTGAACTCAATGAATTATTCTGTGTGGATGCCGAACGTCGTTTTGAGTCCAATGAAAATGCGCCATGTCACCATCTACTCGGTACCGTGGCTCGATAATGCTCGGTACTGGAAGACGTGATTGCACAACTTGCATCTGATTCACCTCTGAACGGTAAGCTATATCTAGTGTCCATATAAAATAATCTCTCGGTGGACTCAGATATGATCAAAACTTAAAAAAAAAAAAAAAACATTAGCCTAAATATTCCTCCAAAAAAATTTGTCGGAATATTATTATAATTTTTTTATATACTAATTCAAATATCAAAAGACATCTAAATAATATATATATCGTTTTTAACTTTCTCTTTGTTTCTTAATCCATTCTTAATTTATTTCAAAAGTTAATTAAAATATTATTTTAAGTTTTGATGTGATATTATTATGTGAAATAATTTATTTAATAATATTTGGAAACATAATATAATTTAAATTACCATTCATTCTTTTATTAAAATTTTAGTGTGCTTTTTCGAAGTCCACATCTAATATTTTTATTAAAGAACTTTTCAGCATATGAAATAAATATTTTAACGTAAAGGATATTTACAAAGAGTTAGATTGTTTTTGTTACAAATTTGAAATTTTTGCAGATTATATATTTAAAGGTGTTAGATAGAATTATCTTTGAAATGAAAATCATTGCAGTTGAATGTTTTTCTTTAGGTAAAGTAATGAAATAATAGATCCATTCAAATTGATTTTAGTTTTTTGATATAGATTGAAAAAAAAAACCTTTTTTTTGTGCATTATATCCTAAATTTATTGAGAAAATAAAAGCAAAACAATAGCTAGTGCTTCATATAAATAAAAAAGAAGGCTTCGTTTAGGACAATTTTTTATTGTTTCTTAAATCAATTTTTTAGTATAAAATTTTAAATTTTTGTAATAGAAAGCTGCTTTACGAAGCAGTAAGAAAGTCATTTCAAATGAAACCTAAAAAATTGCTTTAGAAAGCAATCAGAAAGTTGTATCTAACAAAGCCTAACAATGCATATACATACGAAAGAAAATAATGTGGGAGACTAAACAAGAGTTTATAATTTTATAATCTTGTCTTCTACTTAGATATATTAGGGCTGCAAGCGAACCAAACGTTCGATGAGCTACTCGTTACTCGGTTCAATTAAAGCTCGTTTGTGATAATTTAACTAATAAAACAAACAAACTTAAACAATATTTTTAATACTAGATCCTTTAATAAACAAGCTTGAACACTAATGTGTTGTGTCCATTTATGTTCACGAACAACATCATTTGAAGCTCAAAATCCTTGACATAAGTTCGATAAGAAGCTCGATTCGTGTTCAATTCAGAACTCGTAAATAAGCTTGATAAAAACTTGATTAATCTTTAATTACAAAATTGATAAGTATACATAATATAAATATTTAAATTTCTTATAACATAAATATATAATTACTTTAATTAAATTTTTTTAAAATAATTAAATATTATAATAATATATGTTGTAGTTTTAATTTTCTTACAATTGCTAATTTATTATATTACATCGTTAAATATTGCTCATTTAATAGCTCAAGAATACTAGTTAGATTTGTTCATAAGTATGATTGTTTGATATTTTTTAAAAAAATTGCTAAATATGTTCACGAACAAAGCTCGTTAAGGCTTGTTTGTTAAACCCGATAAGCACTAAACGAATCGAATATGAACCAAACATGAATATTATTAATTTAAACAAACTAAACATGAACACAAACAATAAAGCTCAAATCAAACATGAACTGAAATTGAACAAGCTAATAATAAACGAACACAAACATGAACACTCACATAAACTACCAAAAAATGGGTCTTTCGCAGAACTTGTTATGGGCGGTTTTAAAACTGCTGGTAAAATCGGGTTTTAAAACTGCGGGCATGAACCAAACATGAATATTCATGTGCTTTTATGATGATGACTAAGGAAATGATTTCAAGTGGGAAATAACTATTATAGGAATGTGTAGGCCTTACAAAATGTAATTTCTTTTACATTCATGCATAGCCCAAATTGATTTTGGTTAAGAAGTATTTGACATGCACCATTAAGGATTCATGGGTAAAGTTATTTTTTGAAAATTTAGCACATGAATAAAACTTAGTTTAGGGTTTAGGAGGCATGCCCTCTTACAGAATATCAAACTTTATTTTTTTTTTAGCAAATGCTTATTTGAATGATTATATGTATGAAAATAATTATTTAAATTTAATGTAAATTGCTTGATTATTATTATCTCATTATCTTCATATTATTTTCAGAGTGGCAATGATAATTTATCTGATGCCTATGTTGTCTGTTGATGAGCTCTAGTATTAAATGTGATGTTTCTAGTTGTATGGATATTTTATATAATTTCGAACTTATGTTGTTTTGATTTTGAACTATGGTGGTTGTTATTTTGTGCTAATTTCCTTTCTTGTTATATATGAGGAATAGTATTCCGTAGTAATTTTTCTTGAGATTAACTTGACATTTAGGGGCTGTTTGGTTGCCTGAAAAAAAAAATGCATTGTAAAATAAATGCAATGTAAAGTAAATATAGTGTATTTGGAATACTTTAAAACTGTTTGGTTGTCTGCAAAATAAAAACAAGATAATTGTTTCCCTTGTTTGATTATGTTGATCCAGAGTAAAGTAAAAGCGATTTTTTTGTCATAATTAATTTTTGCATTACAACTAGTGTATTTATAAAAGCCTTGTATTAATAGATTTTGTTCAGTGATAATTAATTAATTATGTTAATTTATTTATTTTTATTAGATTATAGAATATAAATATAATACTATTTTGATAAAATAAAAAACAAATATTCAACTATTGAAAAGAATAATTTATATGTTCATTTTAAATATTAAGAAATCCCATTGATTTTTATTTTAATAAATATAATACTATTTTGTTGAAGTGGTGGCAGCGGCGGCTGTTGCAGCTGCGGTGGCTGTGGTATGTGATGGTAGCTCGCCCTCTCCGTCGCCTCTCTATTCGCAAAGCCGAAGCCTCCGGTCGCTCCCCCTTGCTCGTGTGGACAGCAACCTTAGCCGATGTCCTCATTTCCTTGACGCGGGCAATCCTCTCATTGCTTCTGGTAACCCTTTTCTCCATCATCTTCTTCTAGTTCTTCTCATTTATCTCCTTATGCATCTCTGTTATTTCCAAGCCCTAGCAAATCTTTCAACTTCTTACTTTGATCAAGAGCAAGATGTAGCAAACAAACCTTTTACTCTTCTTGTATATATATAAAAAAAAAAATCTTTAACGATTAATGGCTTTACCTTTATATATATATGGCTGCTTCTACATGCAATTGATAAGAGGGAGAATGGGGATTATGGTTCTGTAGCAAGGGAATGGAGGTTTCTTTTGAAATCTCGAATAAGAGAAATAAATATCCCTTTCTTGGGAATAAAAGAAGACTTATATCCATCTTCTTGATTTTTTTTTTATTAAGTTCTGTTTCAGATCGGGGTTCGTGAGGAAGGAGCTGAGGAAGCCGAACCGAAGGAGGAAGTAGTCTCGACCATGGGGGAATCCGGCATGGAGTGAATATCTTGGCGAGTAAGCTTGCTAGAAGAGTCTGGCCGAGGAATTAGCTGCTCATGCTCTGGCTGCCCGGCGCCACCAGACGCGGAAGCTGAGGCAGAGATTCAGGAGCGGGATTTTACGGAAGAGTCAACTTCGAGGCCGAGGAGGCAGTTGACGGAGGAAGAGTCTGCGGACGCGAGAGGATTTCTAACCCGCTCAGGGGGTTTCGAAGTCACGCGAAATGAACTATGCAATACACCGCGGAACTTTGGAGGAATTTCTAATTCTATGCTCAAAACCAACCAAACAGTATAATTTATCAAATGCGTGTAATTAAAATACTTTATCCTCCTAATTCATCATACCAAACAGCCCCTTAGTGATTTCTTACTGCTGAAATGCTCATTTCCTTTCTTGCTTTGAAGATAATGGCGCTTGGGTATTACTTTTTTGGGTTACTTATGATAATTTTTGTTTTTACTAAATTATGCTCTCTTAATCTCTCTTCATATGTTTCCATTTGGAATATTTATAGATTTTATGGTGAATGATGTGTGACATTCATCATGCTATCAAAACATTACATTTCTTCATCTAGCTGATGAAATAGCAATACTAGTAGCACTAAGATAGTTGAGAATTAGTGTGTGACATTCATCATACTTGAAGACATCGAGAAGTGCAAACCACTAATAATTGTCATCTCAATACTCAACGATCTCAGTTTAAGTGGTAAATCATCTCAATACTTAGCGTTCTCAGTTTAAGTGATCCATCAATGTTGTTAATTGATCTGAAATAAGAAGTATCGTATCCTAAAAAAATATCATAATTATGGAAAATGATGAGCTGGTTTCATTTCCAAATGAGGAAGTGACTCAAATATATTGTTCTAGTCATGTGACTCAAATATATATTTTCAATATTCTCTTGTTGTTGTGAATCTCTATGATTTTACAGGTGTTTTTGTTTCAACTACAATTCCTGTTTATGTGGATTTTATGCTTCAGTTTAGTGAATGTCTCTGATTTGTTTTTTATGGCATAGTTGGTTGACCAACTTATCTAGCTCTAGGGTGAAAGATCAGGTTTCAAAAT